TGTTTTGTAATTTTCTTTGAATAGATCCTTTGTGCTTCTTGTTAAATTTATTCCCAAGTATTTAATCTTGTGATTAGCTATTGTGAAGGGTATTGTTTTTCTTAGCTCCTGCTCTGTATTCTCTTTGTCACTGTAGAGAAATCCAACTGATTTTTGTATGTTGATCTTGTATCCTGACACTTTGCTAAATAGGTCCACTGTGTCCAATAGTTTTCTTGCTGAGTCTTTAGGGTTTTCTAAGTGGGTTTTCAGGGCCTTTAAATCGTGTTGGAAATTGCTTCTTTTTCTTTAGAAGAGCGTCTGGTAGATTTAAACCACTTGTCTTTAAAATTGCAGTACAGCTTTTTACCACTAGGTCACCAGAACACACAAACCCATAAATACGCATCTCTGTATATTCGCGAGAGGAGGATGAGCAATATCCTCCAGTGCGATTAACTGCTTCTAAAACCCCTGGAAGGTCAGCTATGAGTTGGTGCTGATTGATGGTACATAACAACATATATACATTCTCATTCTCTCTTTCCTCCTCTTCCTCCTCCTTCTCTCCCTACCTCCATCTATCTATCCTTCTATTGATGACTAGTAGGTGACCTAGTAGTAAGAAGCTGAACCCACCAGCCACTCTGCAGGTATAGAATGTATTAAGTGTGTAGAAAGAGAAACCCAAAAGGTCAGTAGTTTTAATCTACTAGATGCTCCAAGGAAGCAAGATGTAGCACTCTGCCTCTGTTAAAAGACTTGGAAACATTCTGGAAACTTCTATCTCCTTAGAGTTCTTAGGAGTAGGAATCCACTCCAAGGCAATATATAATATACAATATAAACAATAAATACATTATATATTTGTGACATTATACATTCTGTGACAGTGTGTGTGTGTGTGTGTGTGTGTGTGTGTGTGTGTGTGTTTAAATTCTCCTCACTAATAGGAACCCCTGACAGATTCTTAGGTAGTGCACACGGTTTTACGGCAACAGGTTGGAGATTTAGTGCACTTTTCAGCAAGTACAGTTAGAAACCTGGCAATCTACTCTCATTAATATTACAGTTCCATTCTGTAACACACATGAAGTCAGCATGAGTTGGGATCTACTTAAAAGCAACAGTTTCCTTTTTCAATTTTGTTTTCTTCCTGACAATATTACTGAGTTGTTAGCATAATTATTGCTAATAGTTATTGTTCTCACTTTATGGTCTTTGTCTCAATCTTCACACAATCTAGGTGAAGAAATGAAAATTAACTTGTCTGACATCTTACAACTGGCAGATATTGGAAATAGAATTCAAATATAGTTTATTTTCTCTTAGAAACAGTACCTACTTTTTTTTTTTAATAGTCTTAAGCAATACTCTAAAAATACAACATAAACACAGTATTCAGTCACAGATTCTTTACCCCTTTGACGTTGGATCATACAGCTTTTAATATGTATTTTTATAGTAAATCTTGGAACATGAATTTGGTATATTTAAAATATATTGTAGAGAATAAAATACTTCATTCAGTTATGAATCTAAGATTCCTATTAGAAAAATCTCAAAATAAAGCATAACACTTATTAAATACTTTATTTTTAAAGATAAGTAGCCCATGGTACTGGATAACCATTAAAATCAGGTCTGTTGTACATACATTCATTGTGAGTTGGAACTAATCATAGCACCCAATGTCTAAAATTGCACAAATACTTGAAATAATAATAATGCTTGTATTTCTCAAAAATGAAAAAAGAAATGCTCAAAATATAAAAAATGGAAAATTCTCGTGAAACTTGATCACATTTTCATACCTAATTTTAAGTTATTTTCTCAAGTGTGTCAAGAATAGCAGCAAGTAGCATCTCAAGGCTGCTTTGTTAATTGTAGCTAATGAAGAACACATTGTGAATAAACAGTAATCATACTTTTTAGTAAAAATTCAAAAAGCCTGCTTAAACAAATATAACAGAAGTCTAATTCACGTTCTTTTCTATCTCCTGACTGCCTCCAATTTTATTGTCTCCAATTTCCTACTTTTGTTTGCTTGCATTTCTATTTTATACCAAAATGTTGTAGCTATTTTCACATGAATAAAGGATTTGAGCTGTTCCTTCTCAATGCAAGTTCTTCCACAGAGTGATATGAAGCTGTATATGACTCTAGAATGACGGCTGCAGACCCTCCTATCAAGACCCTCCCACCAGCATTTAGCTTGATGTCTCCATTTGCTCTCAAGGGTCCCTAGCCTGGGGCGGATCTCAGCAAACAAGGCCAGAGTGGGTAGTGCTGAAGGCCTCCTTAGGCAACTTCCACACCTGCGCCTAATTATGTCTTTAAAGAAATGCATGGACACATAGGGTCTTTAATAAGGATTAAAGATTACAAAACTTTAAAACCATTATTCTTGGGGGGGGGGGCATTGTGTACCAGGGAGGGAGTCTTTCTTTTACTTTTGAAAGAGAGGAGCGAAGTGGGGGGCAGCGGGGAAAGGGCTGAGCGGGGAGAGAAGTGCAGCAATGCATGAATGGAAATCCAAATTCTCTGTAAAAGTTCATTAAAATTATTTTAAAAAAAAAGAAAAAAAACCCCATTATTCTTAAAATCATTCCGTACCAGATGAATATGGCTGAAGATCACTTGAAGACTAAAAAATAGAGCTGAAAAATCCTCCCAATACAGTGGAAGACAGTCAAACACACATGAAATTTAAAAACAAACAACAAACAAAAGCAGGAAACATGGAGAAATCCTGGATCAACTTAGGAGAAATTCCTGGAGAAGAAGAAAAAATATTAAGGCGCTCCTCCTGTGTGATTGATTAACAACTGCCTCTGAAAACCCGCTGGAGGGTCAGCTATGGGTGGGTTCCGACTCTAGCATACTTAATAAGAACTTTTAAGAGGTGGGAGTTCTGGTGGCCTACAGCTAAGTAGCTGCGCTGCAATCTCAAAGGCCTGTGGTTTGAACCCACCAGCTGCTCT